TCGGTGGATCCCGAGGACGCTGCGTTCCCTTGTTGTGATGCCTTCACACACCTCTCTTGCTTGGTTCGATGCGCGCGATTGCACGGCAGCTGCCCGAACTGCCGTGCTGCCATAGACCACCTCCCCCGGGACCCGGGCCTGCGGACGAGGTGTGAAACGCTTGGCATCGACCTCTGCCCGGCTGCTCCCCCAAGCCACCAAACGGCCCATACGACCGTCCGGGACTACGCGACCAGAACCTTCTCCGCTGCATAACTTGCGGGCCGTTTGTTGCCGCCGCCTGGCGGGGCCCGCGCTAGGCTTCGTCGAGCTCCCGGATGCTAGCATGCACTGGGCCCCCCTGCCCCACCGCAATGACGTGGGCATCGCCTCATGGACTCCGCAGTGGCTCTGCATGCGCTGCCAAAACGTGCTGCCGGTTGCGTGCGTCCAGACGCCGGGGCCTCCCCCGCCATGCCTCCGTTGCTCGGCCCCCATGCTGTGGGAGGTCAACCTTGCTTCGCACGTGGAGCGCTGGGTCTGCTCTTGCTGCCCCTTTGCGCAACCGGTCAGGCCCCTTGCATTGCGTCACAGGCGGACCCCGCGCCCGAGCCCGCCCTCCCGCAAACCGTCGTCCAGTATGTTGACGCCGTGCCTCCGCCGCTCCCCCTCATCGCTGGCACCAACTCTGAGGTGTACGTCCCGCTTTTGCTTGATGCTGCGGGCGTGCTCTCAGCTTCTGCGCGCCGTGCATGGCGCAGGCATCCGGTCATGGGGGAGTGGTGGCAGCGCACCGTTGAGGCCTTGCTCGCGCGCCCGTTTCTGCCCGTGCAGGAGCTCTCTCAGGCGGTTGCTCATGTCGGGCGGGCGTTTGGGCCACCTGTGCTCCTCTCTCCTTCACTGCTTCGCTTCCGCGAGTGGGCAGGGCAACGCCATGCGCAGGTCACCTCACTTGCGGATGTTGTGCGGGCGGCCACGGCCCATCGGGAGGGACACTACCTCGCCGCCCCTTTGCAGGAAGCGCTGCTCACCGTGCTCTTGGGAACACCAGCTGTCACCACCCTCGCGCAATGGGTCGACGGGCTTCGGCATCCGCCTGCCCCCCTGCGGCACGAGCGGCACGATCGTGCCGCTGGGCCTGAGCACAGTGTTGCCGGTGCCAGCGGCGATGCGGCCGCTGAGCCCAGTCATGTCCCCAGCCGCACGGAGCCCACGCCAGGTGGCAGTGCTCTGCCTGGGCCTGAACCCGAGGAGTCCCGCGCAGAGGATGCCACTATGGCTCGCGTCGCCGCACGCGCCGCCGGTTCGCAGGCCCGCGGCCGCGGCCGAGGCCGACGTGGGGGGCGCGGGCGCGGGCGCGGGGCAGATGCGGTTGAGTGTGCGTCTGAGCCATGTGCCGCCGATGCGCCTGCTGACGCGATCCCGAGCGGCACCGCCGCGTTGCGCCGTGTCGCTGCGGCGGAGGAGGGTTTGCGTGTTGGCCTCGCCTCTCTGGACGGCATCGACCTCGAGGCGACCCTCAGGAGCCGCGTCCTCACGCTCCAGGGTGTCCCTACCCGCTTGCGAGGCGCCCTGCGCACGGCCAGGCGTGCAGGCCTGGAATTGATATCGGAGCGCACGTCGCCTCAACTGGAGCTCCGGGGCTGGAAACTCTTCCTTCTTGCCCCGCGCATGCTCTTACATCGCACAGCCGGTGCGACGCGCGTTGCGCCGGGCGAGCTTGCACGGCGCTGCGAAGCTTTCGCACGTGGCGAGTGGCCCGCCCTCCTCCAGGCTGCCTCGCGCACGGCCGCTTGTCCGCAAGAGGCGGCCCGAAATGTTGCTCCTGATCCCGAAGCTCGGGCGGCACGCGCTGCGGCTCTGGTCCATCTCGGCGAGCTCTCCGCTGCGGGCCGCGCCCTGGTTGCTGAGCCGCTTGCGCCCGCCACCGATGCCACCCTCGCAGAACTCCGGGATCCTCAGCGCCGTCCGCCCGAGCCGTATGACCCCATGCCGTCCGAGATTGCTAACTTTGCCCCGCATGAGCCGTGCCCCCTTTCTTTGCCAGCGTTCCTCGCTTGCCTACGAACTGCAAGGCGTGGGGCTGCTGCGGGACCCTCCGGCGCCACTGCTGAGCACCTCCGCATCCTGCTGGATGACGAGGTCGATAGCCAACTGCTCCACTGCGCCGCGCAACGTTTGGCGCAGGCCGATGTGCCGGACGCAGCCCTGGCGGCCATTCGGGTTGGCAGAATTGTCGCTTTACAAAAGCCGGATGGACGGGGCATTCGCGCGCTGGTTGTCGGAGATGTCCTTCGCCGTTTGGTCGGGAGAACCCTCGCGCAGGCCTTCGCCCCGCACCTTGAGCGCGCCTGCCTCCCCCACCAATACGGGCTAAGCACGCGAGCCGGCAGTGAGGCCCTTCCGCGTGTCCTGCGGGCTGCCACGGAGGTCGACCCGCGTGCAACCATCTTAGACTTGTCTGTGGACGCCAGTGGTGCCTACGACCACGTGTCCCGGCAGGCCATGCTGCAGGGCCTCCTCGCGCGGCCTGAGCTCCACCCGCTTCTCCCCTACGCCCGCCAGTTCTATGGCTCTGCCAGCTCCTACACGTGGGTTGATGGGCAGGGGACCTCCCACGCCGTCGCGCAGGGCGAGGGTGGCGAACAGGGAGACCCGCTGATGCCAGCGCTGTACTCGCTGGCACAGCACCCGGCACTCCAGGAGGTGCAGGAACAGCTGCGGGATGGCGAGGCGATCTTCGCGTATCTCGATGACACGTATATCATCGCCCTGCCGGAGCGGACACGCGAACTCTACGAGGCGTACAGACGTGCGCTGTGGGCGCATTCACGTGTGGAGCTCAACAGTCGCAAGACACGTGTGTGGAACGCGGCAGGCGAGGAACCGCCTGGGCTGTCAGCGTTGCAGGGGGACGCTGACACCGCAATCTGGGTGGGGGACTGGGCGCTCCCGCCGCAGCAGCAAGGGCTCACGGTCCTTGGCACCCCTTTGGGCAGCGACGAATACGTGCGTCTGCGGCTCGCGCAAAAGCGCGAGGAGCACGATCGCCTGCTCCAACGAGTCCCGCTCGTGAAGGACTTGCAGGCTGCCTGGTTGCTGCTGCACTACTGCGCCGCCCCGCGGGCCAACTACCTCCTTCGCGCTCTGCCGCCCGCCGCGACGGCCGAGTATGCTGCCTCTCACGACTCCGCTGTGACTCGCTGCCTCGCCACGCTCCTGGGCCATGCGGACGCACCGCTGCCCCCCCAGTCGGAGCGAGCGGCACACTTGCCACTACGCTTTGGTGGCTTGGGCTTGCGAGAGGCCACGGCGGACCGCCATGCTGCGTACTGGGCCTCCTGAATGGACAGCCTCCCCGTCATCCAGACGCGCTTGCCCTCGGCAGCTAACCGCTTGCTGCTTTCCCTCCGCGCGCAGGAGGCCGGCCCCTTGCCCTCCATACTCGCCGCCACACAAGCCGCAGCGTACCTTGCTGGACAGGGCTACGCAGTGCCGGCGTGGGATGACACGCACTCTGCCCCACCTGGTCCGTCTTCCCGCAACGACGAACCAGCCGGGACCCTCCGGGGCTGGCAGCGTGGGGCCGCCCATGCTTGCGATGAGCGCGCGCTTGAGACGCACCTTGCTGATCTTTCACCTGCGTCCCGAGCGCTGCTGCTGTCACAAGCTGGACCGCACGCTGCGAGAGTCTTCACAGTTTTGCCCACGTCGGACGTCGTAACCGTGCCTGACCCGCACTTCCGCGTCCTGCTCTTGCGGCGACTCCGCCTGCCCCTTCCCCTCGGTCCGCGCGCCTGCTCCTGCCGGGGCTTCCTAGACGAGTATGGAGATCACCGCGCCGCCTGCTCCAACTCTGGCGTCCTTGCATCCCGCGCACTGCCCCTTGAGCGCGCTGTAGCCCGGGTTTGCCAGGAGGCCGGCGCGCGTGTCGGGCGCAACGTCGCCTTGTCGGCCATGAACCTCGATGTGCCCGTCCACGACGCACGGCGCGATGCGACCCTCGTCAGCCCTGTGACGCGCGAGGGGCTGCCGCAAGCCGGGGCTGCCACCCACCCTGGCAGTGCCTTGCGCAACGCTGCGCGCCGCAAGCGCCGGCAAACTTATCCCGAACTTGACCGCAGTCGGCGGTGTCGGCTCGTCGTTTTCGGGCTTGACGTCGGGGGGCGCTGGGACTCTGAAGCTGCCACCTTCGTGCGCCTCCTTGCTCGTGCGCGGGCGGCCGGCACCCCCGCCGCGTTGAGGGCTTCTGCCCAAGCTGCTTGGGTCCTCCGGTGGAGTGGCATCATTTCCGTCGCTGCGCAGAGCGCGCTTGCGGCAACCTTCCTCGGGCTCCCCGTCCCGTCTGAGCCCTGTGCTGCTGGCACGCCCCCAGCCTTGCACGAGCTCCTGGCTGACGCCCGCTGGAGCGAGAGCGAGGTCCCGGCACCAAGCCGTCTGCCCAGCCGGGCCTAGGTCCCTTCCCCGGGCCCCCGAAGGGGACCCGTGGACTCGACCGCCCCGACCCTGACTGCGGCGGACGCAAAAAGGCGCGGAAAAAAATAAAAATAAATAAATAAAAAAACCTGTGGCGGCGCAGTGCAGGCTGCTTCTGCATCATCAGCTCCATACTCTGGGCCAGCACCCATGGAGATAGGAGCAGTCGACGTTGCAGACCCCAAGCCCCATAAAGGCAAAGAGGCTAAAGGCGGTAAAGGTGGCAAGAAGGGTAATCCAGGTAAAGGGTCAAGAGGTTCCCCCGCGAAAGGTGATGGTAAGTCAAGAGAAAATCGCAAGGGTGACCCCGGCGGCAAATCTGGCAAGGGGTCCCGTGTGCGATTTGTAGCCCAGACAAGGGTAAGAATCACACCACTGACGCTTGTTTCTTCAATGCCCGTGCTAACCCGAAGGGGGATGGCAAAACCGACAAGCACGCCTCAGCGCAGCAGCCCAGTACCGAAGCTGCCGTGGATGCAGCCGTGCCAGACAAGAATCTGTCGGCCACCATTTCCACGCTGCAAACACAGCTTGATGCGCTTCGTTCATCTGCTAACCCGTCCATGCCGTCGGGGCACTCTCAGGGCCGCAAAGGTCAAGGCGCCATCCAAGAAATGCTGTTTGCCATCAGCGATACTGCGGCTCAGGCTGTTGAGGTCACTGAACAGGTTGCCGCAACATCCTCCACCAAGTACGTCCTTCTTGATTCCGGCGCCACGACCAGCTGCGCAAGTGATCAGTGTTTCCCTGACGCAACGGTCGATGCCACACGGCAAAAGGAACTGTGGGCCATCAATGGCACGCCCATTCGACACAAGGGTGAACTGACCGCCCCCACGGCCATTCCCGCGACGGATTGCTGTGGCGAGCCTATCGCAATTCCAGCTTCTTTTCGAATGGATGTCACTGATGCCACAGAGCCGGTCATGGCCTTTTGCCGAATCTTGGATGACGCTGATTGCGACCTCCACTTTTATCGGACATCTTCTGGCAAGCCAGCGCACATAGATACCCCAGATGGTCATACCATCATTTTGCCCAGATTCGGTGCCAGGTTTTACATGCCGTCTGAAAACAGGTCCCCCGGTAATGGTACAACAGAGTTCGTTGCGGCTGGAAACGCGGGGGACGAAAGCCCCAGTCCCATGCATTGCTCTCCCACTGCAAGAAAGTGCTCTGTCGGATCCGGCAGGGCAGGCAGTTCGTGGAGGCACTCGCTTGCCGATGCTTGGACGAACGCTGGATGGCCAATGGGCACGCCGAGCACTAATGAACACTATGACCCGCGCTCCTTAGGTGCTTTGTCCACGCGCCCCACGTCGGGTCCCAGCTCGGCGACCTCGGGCGGGGCCGGCGCGCTGGACCAGCCGAAGGTGCGCGTCTTGCCATGGTTGGATGCGACGACGCAGGTGAGGACGTAGAGGTCGTCCAGAAATGCGAACACTTCTTCGTCCTCCGATCGCAAGCGAGCCTGAGCCGCGTGTAGCGCCGCGTGTTGGCCGAGGGCGCACAGCGCCGGGGCGAGAGGATCGCCTTGCTCGCAGCCCTCCCTTGGACCACCGTTCTGCACGAGCCTGCCGAATCCCACCAATAATAGTCGGAAGGATGCCCGTAAAAACGCCGGACGAAAGGGCGCCTGCACGCAGGCGCCATGGATCCGCAGGGTTCAAAAAAAAACCCAAGGTCGCGGGCTGCAACGGCCGACGTGGCACCGGAAACGCGCTCGGGATCAGTCAGGGCGGCCCACGTAGTGTCATCGCCCGGCGCGAGTGACGTCAAAACATAACGGGCACGAGAGACCTCCCCGCGCCGTACCTTTGCGCAAGCGGCATGTCGGCATATGTCGGCGCCGCGCAGCGGCCTCGGCGTCCGCAGGGTCCTCGGATGTCCTCGGCACCACAGTTCGGCGTCAAAGCTTGGCCTACACGAACCTGCTTCCAAAGCTGCAGCCACACTCCGCGCTGAAAAGCCTGCGCGCGTCCAAGAGGCGTTTGTCGGCCCTCACGCCCTTGCGCCGGCACGCGGGCGAGAGGCATGCGCAGGGCTAGCAAGAACAATTTCCAAGCCCGGGATGCGGCGGGACCCGCTTGCTACTTTGAGGGCCCCGAGCGCCTGAACCTGGCACTTCCTGGATTGTGAGTACGGGGCGGCGCAATTCGTCAGCAAGGTCAACGCCATCCAGCGCCGCCCATTGTTCCGGCGTGACCGCCTGCGCAAGCGATGTCGCGGTCGGCTGCGTGTGTGGGACCCCTTTCCTGACTGCGCGGGCTGTCGTCGTGTGCGCCCGACTACCCTACGCGGCAGGCGGCTTGGCGCGGCTGCATTGTGGCGATAATGTTCGCGGCATTTCGGGGCCGGCTGCGCTGCCGACACTCCGCGGGCTCTTGCGGAGGTCGTCGCACGCCTGGCCAAAGAGCTCGTTCAGGGCATTGGACTCCGCTTCAACTACGGGCCAGCAAAAACTGAGGCTCCTGGCCATTCGCAGAGCTGGTTCAGCCTAAACACGCAGGGCACTCCTTCGCCAAGAGGCCCCCCACGTGGCGGTCAAAACGAGTGCCGGTTTTTCGTTCCAACAGGCTGGCTGCAGTACCCTGTGAGTGCTTTCGCACCAGAGACATGTCTTTGAACGACCGTGAGACACAGTCGGAAGTGAAACCACATTTGTGATCATGATATCAACTTGCAAGTACGACAAAAGAGTCGAGTCGAGACCTGATCGCCCGAAGGCGTCCCCAGTAGGGTACAGGCGCAACGTTCTATAGGCACCACCGGCTGCCACCTCAAAGCACGTCTAACCCAGCTTGCATCAGGCAAGTTGGCGATGTGCAAGTACGACAAAAACAACACCAATCACACGAGGCGCAATAAAACGAAGCAAGATCACTAGTCCTCACACGCCCCCTCAGAGGATGATGGATCATGGGTCATGTCACATCTCACACGCCGATGCATCACGGCAGACGTCGTCTACGGAGCGACGCCTCTCGGCGGGCGACGCCATTCGTGGCGCCACTGACACGCACAGGCTTGCCCTCAGCCGTGCGCTGCCGCACACGACGGAGCCGCCCTGCGGGTCGCCGAGCGCCGCAAGCGAGCCCCCGGAGCTGACCGGCGGCCCGCAACAACTCGTGGTGCTCGGGAGAAAGGTCGGCGATGGTCGGCGGACGATGGAACGCTGGTGCGATGGAACGCTGGTGCGATTGTAGCAAAGGTCTAAACCGAAGCATGCACACGGCCAGGGATCCCCACGCCGCACGTCCGCCCCCAGCTGCGACAGCGGGAGGAGGCGGACCGCCAGCACAGCTGTACACTTGTGTTTTGCCCTCGCTGGGGGCTATGTCGCATTCGGCCTCGACGACGGCAGCGCGTGCTCGCTCGCGTGTCGTGAGGACGTACAAGTCGTCGAGGAACGTGAGCAAGCTGTCCGACGCGTGGCGGCCTTGAGCAAGGCCCCACGCTGTCCCAATGCAAAAAGGGCCGGGGCCAGTGGATCGCCTTGTTCACAGCCTTCGCCTTGGGCGACGGTGCGGCAATTGCCCTCACTGTCCCGCCAGCAGTAAGGTGATTGCTGTCAACAAAAAACCCAGTGCCGCGGCGCATGCCCCTGCTGCCTGCTTTGTTTCATGGGCCGACTCGTGGGAGGGGTCCAGAGCCGTTCAAGTGCGGGGAGGGCTCGGGGGGGTGGGCTGGTTCGGAGGAGGGCAGTGCCAAGGAGGTCGCTCAACTCCAAGACTTCTGATCGATGTTGGCCGCGTTGGCGAGGAGCAGTGAGAGAGAAGACTCGCGGCAAGCGCGTGTGCGGCTGCAACGGACAGGAAGGCAGACCAACGGGCGAGGCGGCCCTGGCGCTGGAGCGCAGCAGAGGAGGGGCTGCGCGGGAGCTGCTACGAGCGAGGAGTCGGATGAACTGGGCTGCCTCCTCTCTTCAATGCCCTCCGAGCTCGGCTCGTGGCTCGTTCGAGCGGGACAGCTCACGAGCGCAACAACCCCGAGCGTGGGCAAGGGGCACGGCGGCGCCGACACCGGCACAGGGCAGGGACCAGGGGCAGTTGCAGGCGCAAGCGGCGCAGCAACAGCACCGTCGGAAGAGAGCTGGTTCGAGCCGCCGCACCTCGGAGGAGGTAGGCAAGGCCGTGAAGACTTTGGCTGCGAAGGGGCCGGACTGGGATGCAAGCAGCGCTTGCAAAGGGACGTAACCCACGATGCCCCTACGTGCTCACTGGGCACCGCTTGGACAGCCCACTGCTTGCCGGTCGCCTGCCCGCGCAGTGAAATGCCTTCGGGCAGAGCGACGCACTCTGCACAGGGACCGGGCCAAACCCGTCTCGTGTTGCACGACTTCGATGTGCCTTGCATCGTGGACAAAGCGACGTTGCGCCAACCCGTACATGTCCATGGCAGATTAAAAGCGACGTTGCGCCACACGTGCACGCGAAAGGGCAGCGCTCCGGAGGCGAGAACCCCGGAGTTGGACCAGGCGGCATGGCGACAAAGGAGCCACGCGTCAGGAACGGTGACCTAGTCTCATATGGCCGTGAGGGCTGCGGGTGGTCCAGCGTGCAAAAGCAGCAGCACTCGGAGGCGGGCGACAGCTCAGCAAGGTGCATCTCGAGCGCGCGCTCATCGCCAGCATTGGGCGGCCCCACGTTGCCACTACACCTCTGCAAGAGCTCGCGCACGCCGTCGAGCACGTTAGCCTGGCGGCCAAGCGTTCAAACCCCCCGTCGCTGCGCCTCTCCCGATCACTCCGCCGCTTGGGACCGGCATGCGCAAATCACCTCGCTGACCGAACTTGTCAGAGCGACTTCCGATCCGGGGGGGTTGGTATTACCTCGCAGCCCCTTTGCAGGCGGCGTTGCGCATCGAGGCCGAGCGCGGAGCTGGTACTGAACACGACGTAGTAACGAGCACATGGCCGCAGACTGGGAAATGCAGCGCAACCGCCACAAGGCATAGAGAGAGCAGTCATCCTGCTTCCCCTTCGGCATGCTGAATGAGGTGGTTTTTGGCCAGTCGGTCCAGGTGTTCGTGATGGCCGCAGATTGCGTGGACGAAAGGCAGCGTTGGCGCAAGTGAGGCTTTCACAAGGCCAGGAGAGGCAATGCAGGGCACAGTCCCTTCTCATATTTTGGGAGTATTTCTTAATCAGAAAATCGATTTCCAAACAATTCAGGGTTTGATGGCAGCGCCGATGTTTGCCGTCACTGTGCGTCGCTCGTTCGTACTCGATCGTACTCGAAGATTACCGCACGTCGGGACCCTACCCCCCCCCCCCCCCCCAAACTTTCACCCCGGCATTCTAGCCTTTTTCGGCCCACACGACCCACCCACACCCCCCCCCCCCAACCTCAAGCGTAAAAAGCCTGCGCAAGCTTTCCGGAGAGGCTCTCTGTGCGCACCGTGCAGTTGGGGTTCCGGCTCCGTAGCTTTCCCCAACATGGTCTTCATCGGGCCAAGCACAGCTGCATCCAAAACACACAAGAGTTTTGCAAGAGCTTTGCAAGAGCTTTGTAAGAGTTTTACAACCCTAACAGCTCTTCAGCAAGCCACAGCCCGACTATTCAGCAACTGGTGGGTCGACTCCTCTTTTCTCTTGAAGAGCATTTGACAAGGCATTAATCCGTGGGGCGCTTCCTCGCAGCGCATTGAATGGAAAAGTGTCACACCTGCTCTAGGTGTCGGCTTGTTCCACCGCAGCTAGGCATAGAGGCTCCTTCACTTCGCTTTCAACCTGCTCTTTAAGCTACAACGGTCTAAGATTTGCAAAGCGAATCTCTGAGCCCGAGCCTACGCAGGCAGTCATGCACTGCATCACATAATCACATAATGTACGAGAAGCTGCTGGGCATTTGCCCACAGCCCCTGCAGCACGTGCTGGAGTCCAGCAAAAGGCAAACACCTCATCATCAATGAGGGTGTGCCAGCAGTTGTGACTTCTCACTGTAAGTTTCTGATTCTACATCTCTACGCTACTGGGCTAAGGGTTGGGTAGGCTGTAGTGCCGAGGGCGTCTTCACCGCCATCAGCAGTGTCATCGGCGGCGTCGGCATCTCCGGCATCTCCGTCATCTCCGTCATCTCCGTCATCACCGTCATCACCGTCACCGTCATCTGCCGGCGCAGGCATCACCTGACATGACCGTTCAAGTGTCAGGTAGTTGCAGCTTGCCAGATTGCCTCCTAATCCAACAACATAACAACCAAGGTGAACGCTCTGCCGTTTGTGACGTAGATTGTGGTAAACCTGAGCTGAGTCCATTGCAAACTGACGGGAGAAGAAGGCACAAAAAAAGCAGCTGATCTGAGCTGCCTTGCTACGGACTGTCCTGGTCAAGCGGGTGTCACCGTCTGAGGAACCAACGAGCCCAGGAGGACAACGCCGAGCATGAGAGCGTAAAGACTCCACCTCACCGGACAGCGGGCTGCACAGAGTGGCGCGTGGCCTCATCCCTGCTGAGTCGGTTTCGTGGTCGAAGATTTGGCGGCACGACGGGCTCCCGCAAGGTCTTTCTTCTTCTTCAACTTGTTAGCCTCTTCAAGTGTCAGGCTGCACAGAAGATATCCAGCCTAGAAAAGCTTCTTGGCCTGCTGTGCTTGGTAGACGCCGTAGCCACCCAAAAGCCTGGCCCCAGCTGCACCAGCATCTGCAGATTCCCCCCTGACCCCATCCGCTCCATCTTTCGCGCGTCAAGAGAACTTTCGGCAGAGCCACGGGCAGAAAGCGGCAGAAACCATGGCCCAGGGCATGTAATCCTCGCAGGCTCCACTTTTGAAAGCAACCTTGACAAGGAAAAGACTGTCACTGCACTCATCGCTGCCTTGATTTCGTTCCTGTCCGTCTCCCTCCGATGACAGCTTCGACAATGGGCGACGCTTATTGGAAAAAGCAGAGACCACACCTGGAGGAAGATGCCTTCTCAGAACTTCCACCGCAAGATACCAGCTTGTGCCTCAGGTTGTCCAGCAAACTCAAGTTACCTGGCAGTTACCTACACATGCCCTGCACATCAGCGCATTTCATTCCCGTCGCGCCCTGTCAGCTCCAGCATGCGGTCCGTCTTTAGGCCTGCAACCATTGGAATAACGCTGGGTCCGTGAGAGCAGGGTTTTGCTTCAACAACACGGATCCGGGCCTGTCACTTCTGCGACCAAGGAAAAGATGGCAAGGAGGATACTGAACCATCCGTTTAGCACACCAAGCCTCTCTCGCAGTAAGCTGCTGCCACCGTGCAGTCTTGGGTGTCACATGTCATCGTCACATGGCTGACGGAAACAAACACGGAGTCGCACTTGCCGCAGTAGCCGAAGTTGGCAAAGACACCCTGAACATAGAGCCAAAGCGCGTACCTCCCAAGCAAAGCCTTTGGAATGCGCTGTTCATGTACTTTGTCTGCTGCACCAGTCACAGCGTCCAAATCTGGGGCAGGCACTGAACAAAATTTTTCGGAAAGCCGCCAACCTCAGCCCAGAGATGCTTAAGCTACAAAACGTCCGAACAGGCCTTAAGTTGCCAGCCTGGAGGAGCATTGGCCTGTACATGAAAGTACCGATAATTCCGACCATCAGGGGCCTCAGCACAAGTCATGCTAAGCGAAATCCTCGCCAATCTAATGCCTGGTGCAGAAGGTGGTTGCTGACTTGCACTTTCACAGGCACACGCAAGTCAGTACCAAATCATGTGACTCGGTCGCTTGCACAAGCGAGGGGAGCTGAGCCATACCTGCCACCAAAGCCCGCAACGTGGATCTTGATCGCAAGCAAGCTTACAGCAGTGCCACGTGCGTGCTGATGCATGCAGTAAGGCAGGCACGTGGATCTGCGAGAATCTGAGTCACCGACCAAAATTTGAGGCCCACTCCGAATTGCAGTCAACCCACTTGGTTGCTGCTGTATCTGCCCAGCCTCATCATCAAACTCACCATCAAACAAAAGACAGCCAGGCTTCGCAGCGCTTGTCGTGCATGACACATCGATGTGCTGAGGCGGCAACCGCATTCCGACCACTTCAGGCGCAGCGTAGGGTGATGATACCAACACTTAGCGAGCACGGAACATTCAACCGCATTGATGGCGACTGACAGGCACGAAGCTTCAAAATTCGCATGGCCCCGCGCATACACGATGCCGATGATGGTGGTGAAAAGCGACGAAGCCAGCCCCAAAAGGCCAAGCACATTACCAAGATCCTAAGCGCATCCAAACCCAAACTGGAAACAGCTGGGGTATGGGGGGTGAAGCAAATCTCTTCTTGCTGCCCAAGATCCGAAAATCTCATGTTCAAGCACGTCCAATCCTGGCAGATGCCAAAACAAAACCACGGAATGACCTCCGGCTCATCCCAGCCTGCAAAGAAGCTCCCCAAGCAGTTAGGGCCCAAGGGCCAACGAGCAAGGGAAGCCCAGCCCCCGATCAGCAAGCTGCGGGCTGCGAACGATTTGCTTCAGTCCGCTCATGCGACCCCAACACAACCGTCATCCAAATGTGCAAGTTGGATCAGGGTTGCGTGGTCTCTGTGGAAATGCTTGTCATTCACGTGGTGTATCCGTTCAAACTGGCATTGATAACACACAAGAAAAGCAAGACTACCCATACATTTGATCTTTCAACCAAGCTTCAAAACGTCATCGACTACAATGCCTAGAGCTGGTGGTGGTGTTTTTCATAAGGCGGAACATTCTGAACAGTTCAGAAGTGAACACTAGGACAAATCGTATGTATAGATATACATACATCCTAAAACATCCACAAGGCTTTGTTACTTGCATTGCCTCTCACGAGGCGAGGCCAGCTGGACATGTTGTGCTGCAAAACAAAGTATGGCAACGCGAAACTGCGGCAGCTCTGTGCGAAATAACCGCTCATGTGGGATTCACGCGCTGCAGCGTGACCCAAGATTCGCTGACGAACTGCCGGTTACAATGCACAACAACATTTTTTCCTCAGGACTGCCCGAGCCACGCACAAATCAGGAAGGGTTTTGCAACAAAACCACCCCACCGGCCGCAAGGTGGTTGAACAGTGCTTGGCCGGGCAGGACGTGTTCACCCCACTCATCAAGGGGACCTTTCTCCGTCGGAGATGTTGCTTTTTCTCCAATCATCCTCCTCTGTTGTGGCCTGTGGGCTGCAGTGGCGCATTGCCGCAAAATTGTATGTTGTGTGGCTCCCTTCATCGGAAATACAGGCTTCAGCGGAGCTCGTGATAAAGTGAGTTCCCTTTGCCGTTCGCCGTCCGGATCTGTCACGCCCGTGTTTCTGTGGAGCAAAACCCTGATCTTGGAAACCGCCGACTTTTTGGACTGCCTCCACGGCTGCCAGCTGCTCCAAAACTTCTCAGTTCGGTCTGCAGATTGTTTCCTGTCTCTAAACATTGAATTGTTCAGGGTGCGAAGTGATGATTTCCGAAGTCCTGCCATATCACTTCGCAAAGCAGCCAGCTCAGCGACACCATAGTGACTGTTTGTCCCAAACTCTTGCAGTGCACTTTTGCATCTTGCACATGAGTCAAGATTGTCCAAAAGGCCCGTCAACTTGCACTCCCAGCTCCTCCCTCTCCCGTCAGCTGTCCGCTGGTTTAGAGCGATCATGCCAATTCGTTTGACCCGCCGGAATTAGCGAGCCTTGTTTAACGAATCAATACCACTTGATTTCTGTCCAAACGGCACTGTCAGAGGCTTTTAAAAACACTTGTTTCAAAAGCATTGAACTTTTCAAAGCTCTTGCGGCACAATCGTTTTGGACAATTGCTGTTGTGAGCATGTGCACGCTCGCCACACGAAAACATGTGATGGTAAAGGGTGAAAACGGAAACGAGGATGCACAAAAGGGTGCCTGTTCGTGGAAGCGCGTGAAGACCGCGCCTCGTTTCCGCGGCGGCACTGTACAATAATGCAATCACTTGGTGAAACGTCGATCCAGTTCAATGCCTCCACGGGACCACGTCGCATCTCCTTGAAACACAGCTCCTTCATCCATCACAACACTGTGAAGGTCCAGACTTGCGCGGGAAACTGAAGCTGGAAATGCCCTCGAAACCGGGTTTCTCCACGCGGCTGAGGCAGCGAATCTTCAAACATTGAAATTGAGGGGGGGAGAGCTTTTGTGCACGAAGAAGCAAGTGCCCAAAACCAGCCAGTCGAACTTCACACCTTTTTGAACTTTGCCGCTTCTTGCGGGTCTCGAAACCACACCTTACACTGAACACAATTGCACATTCGAAAAGCCAGACACTCCAAGCCATAAAGAGTTGAGCAATAGTTGAGATTCTAATCCAAAAAAACTTGTGTTATGGTAAGTAAGCTGAGATTTCCAAGCCCAAGAAAAAATGAGAAGTGAAGAACTCTAATTCCAAACGCAGTGAGCTGAGATTTCCAAGCCACGAGATTTCCAAGCTACAAAAACCCAAGTCAGCTCAGAAGCCACAAAAAAGCTGAAAGAGATGAGACTTCCAATCTCCAAAAAAAGCTGAGCGAGCTGAAATCTACCAGCTAAAGAAAGTAAGTCAGCTGACAAAGAGCTGCATGTAGCTTCTGAAATTGTGAAGTCCGTTTTTTCTCATCAACAATTATCCAGCTAAAAAGTGGTGTTAGCGACTTAGGAGGCCGCTGGCGGAACAGCACTTCAACCTCAGCGCCAGTCTGCTGAGGGAAAGTGATGGGCGACCAAAAGGCGCTGGCTGAACAGAGAGCACTTGGATTTTTTTGCCAATGGGTGTGCGAAGCACTCTCCGTCTCCCGCTATGTCTGTAGCCACTGAGAAAAAATTGCGCAAGAAGCAGACAGAGACCTTACAGTTGCAGAATCCATCAGTTGCAAAATCCATGAAACTCGACATCTCAGCCTCAGCTGCAGTATAACAGAGTCAACCAAAACCTCTAGTCTCAGAAGCCGCCAGCGTCAAGCGTCAAACGATTCACAAATGTATAGAAGCCGCAAGGGTCAAACGATTCACAACACGATAGAACAACAAATATTCAGAAAACATAAAAGAGCAAAATCAGAACAAACAAAGAGCCAGAAAAGAGGTCAGGAAAAATGCAAAATACACGCAAACCAAATCAAAAACAGTTTTGCAATCAAAAAAATTTAAAAAACAAAAGCAACTACTACTGCAACTGCAACTGCAACTGCAACTGCAACTGCAACTGCAACTGCTCCTGCAACTGCAACTGCTCCTGCAACTGCTCCTGCAACTGCTCCTGCACCTGCTCCTGCAACTGCTCCTGCACCTGCTCCTGCACCTGCACCTGCACCTGCACCTGCACCTGCACCTGCACCTGCACCTGCACCTGCACCTGCACCTGCACCTGCACCTGCACCTGCACCTGCACCTGCACCTGCACCTGCACCTGCACCTGCACCTGCACCTGCACCTGCACCTGCACCTGCACCTGCACCTGCACCTGCACCTGCACCTGCACCTGCACCTGCACCTGCACCTGCACCTGCACCTGCACCTGCACCTGCACCTGCACCTGCACCTGCACCTGCACCTGCACCTGCACCTGCACCTGCACCTGCACCTGCACCTGCACCTGCACCTGCACCTGCACCTGCACCTGCACCTGCACCTGCACCTGCACCTGCACCTGCACCTGCACCTGCACCTGCACCTGCACCTGCACCTGCACCTGCACCTGCACCTGCACCAGCACCTGCACCTGCACCTGCACCTGCACCTGCACCTGCACCTGCACCTGCACCTGCACCTGCACCTGCACCTGCACCTGCACCTGCACCTGCACCTGCACCTGCACCTGCACCTGCACCTGCACCTGCACCTGCACCTGCACCTGCACCTGCACCTGCACCTGCACCTGCACCTGCACCTGCACCTGCACCTGCACCTGCACCTGCACCTGCACCTGCACCTGCACCTGCACCTGCACCTGCACCTGCACCTGCACCTGCACCTGCACCTGCACCTGCACCTGCACCTGCACCTGCACCTGCACCTGCACCTGCACCTGCACCTGCACCTGCACCTGCACCTGCACCTGCACCTGCACCTGCACCTGCACCTGCTCCTGCTCCTGCTCCTGCTCCTGCTCCTGCTCCTGCTCCTGCTCCTGCTCCTGCACCTGCTCCTGCTCCTGCACCTGCTCTGCTCTGCTCCTGCTCCTGCTGCTCCTGCTCCTGCGCTCCTGCTCCTGCTCCTGCGCTCCTGCTCCTGCTCCTGCGCTCCTGCGCTCCTGCTCCTGCTCCTGCGCTCCTGCTCCTGCTCCTGTGCTCCTGCTCCTGCTCCTGCGCTCCTGCTCCTGCTCCTGCGCTCCTGCTCCTGCTCCTGCGCTCCTGCTCCTGCTCCTGCGCTCCTGCTCCTGCTCCTGCGCTCCTGCTCCTGCTCCTGCGCTTCTGCTCCTGCTCCTGCGCTCCTGCTCCTGCTCCTGCGCTCCTACTCCTGCTCCTGCGCTCCTGCTCCTGCTATGTCTGCTCGTCATGGACGCATAGTTCGGCTGAGGCAACTGTGGAATGTCTTGTTTCGTACACCTCTGCTTCCATGTCCACAGGAGTCGATGCATTCGCAGGTGCTGCTGAGGGGTCTCCTCCCTCGTCGACGATGAAGTTGTAGCTGTTGCTTTTGTGCATGGCACTCATCTGTTGAAGTTGAGCTGCCTGCTGTCGGATCTGCTCGTCCTCATTGCTCTTGTGAACTCCATCTGTTGAGCTACTCCAGGTGCAACGGGCAACTGCGCATTCGGAACTTGAAGGGGCTCTTGTGGTGCTGTCTGAGGGAGGTGTTCCCGTCTGGTAGAACTGAGGTCCAAACGAAGGCACAGCCCCAACTGGTGGCTGATGGCTGCTCCAGTCGTAGCTGTCCACTGCCTTGGGTCTACTCCGCGTGGAACTGAAGCTGGTCGCCTGGCAAAGACCTTGTTCTCTTGGAACTCAGGCTGCTTGCACTGCGGCCTCTCAGAGAACGGTCTCGTCCAGGCACACACGTTGAAACTCGTGGCACAGCTACGGGGGCCTCAGGGACCTCAGGCAGGAGCAGGAGCAGGAGAAGGAGGAGAGCAGGAGCAGGAGAGCAGGAGCAGGAGAGCAGGAGCAGGAGAGCAGGAGCAGAAGAGCAGGAGCAGGAGAGCAGGAGCAGGAGAGCAGCAGGAGAGTGGGAGCAGGAGAGCAGGAGAGCAGGAGAGCAGGAGCGCAGGGAGCAGGAGCGCAGGAGCGAGCGCAGGAGCAGGAGCAGGAGCGCAGGAGCAGGAGCGCAGGAGCAGGAGCAGGAGCGCAGGAGCAGGAGCAGGAGCGCAGGAGCAGGAGCAGGAGCGCAGGAGCAGGAG